GAGGCGTGGCGCGTACGCCGGGGGGGACGCGGCGTGTGAGAGATGCCGCTGGAGCGCTTTCGAACATCGCTGGCTCCGTCCGCTTTGCATGTTGCGAGCGTTAGGTCACCGTAAAGCCTCCCCGGTGGCTGTGCGGCTGTGCGCGCTGCGTGACCGCGGTCGGCTGGCCGGCAGTCCGTCAGTCCTTTGCCTTTGGTGCTGCGCTTGGCGCTGCGGCCGGCCTATCTGCCTCCCTGCAGGCGGCCCCTCTCTCGGCCGCGTGTTGCCAGTGGCGCAGCCTTGGAGCGGGCCAAAGCAGCACCTTTTTGCTTGCGGGGACAAAGTGCAATTTTTTTGCCTACCTTTCTTCAGGCGGTTAGTTTAGTCCTTTGGGAAAGGGGGGGGGGACAAAAAACCCTCCCCCTTTGTGTACTCGCATGTGCGTGTGGCTGCATTGGACAACGCTCCGCCTGCACCCCCCCCCCCCCCCCCCCTCGCCGGACCGGCCCGAACCTGCCAAGCCCGGGCAGGCCGCGGTGACATTTACGAAAATTGAAATTGTGTCGTTCGATAACGCGCCGTGCGCGCCGCGCCCAAATTGGTGGCGGCGGAGGATGTAGTTTGGCGGCGCAAGTTGGGTGACGACGAAGTTAGCACTTGCCTGATGCGTCCTCCCCGGTCCCTCCCCCCCCCCTCCCCCTTCTCCACCATTGCTGCCCCCAATTTCCGGGCCCCCTTTCGCACTGACAGTGACACTACACTGGCAGGGGCTGCGCCGCGGAACAGGCAGTGCGGCCCGCACTCGCCCTTAGCCTCTAGGCCAGGCGGCGTCAGGAGGCCTCAGGTGTGCTTGAGTGCGGTTGGACCCAGACTCGATCAAAGGCTGCCCTCGCACAGTGGGCCAGAAGCCGGTGGAGGCGGCCAAAACCCTTGACGCGTTTTGAGCTCCAGAGTCGCTAAACAGGCCTCGAAACGAACATGTGATGTGACATGGGTTACTCGTCGGAAGAGCAATCCATTGGTGGGGTCACACGTTCGGTTCGAGTCCTGCTTAGCGACTCTGGGGCTCAAAACGCGTTTAGAGTTTTGGCCGCCTCCACCGGCCTCTGGCCCACTGTGCGTCGGCTGCGTGGGGTGCCAGTACACTCTCTAACAAACACAGGTCTAATGAAAAAAAAGGTTCTCTTTTCCACGAAGTAGAGCATGTATGAGGCTACCTATCCAATTTGCTGGAATTGAGTCCAACTTGTACTTTTAATTTGGTCTATTTTTGATTCGATGATGAAATCCCTTCTCGGCCAAGAACCTGCCAACACGACTCAAAATTAAAGTCGTGCAAAACTTTAAAGTCGTTTCGACCGAACATGTTTTAACACAGCTACTTTTCTCATCTCCGGCCGGCGGCTGCCGCGTGGTCATGTTTTATGCACCCTTTGCGGCCAGGCGATTTCCCGTGCGCGGTCTGCAACATTTCTGACACCGCCAGTTTTATGTATGGACGCGCGGGCCCGCCCAACAATACAGTGTACCTTTCCGGCGAGGCCCCGTGGGGGGACGCGTTGTGCCCCTTTCATGGCACGGCCCTCGCCGACACGCCGGCCTGCCGCTCTGTTTCCGGGGCCGCGGGGGCCGCGGGGGCTGCCGGTCCCATTCATGGAGCCATTGCCTCTACACTGGTAGAGTCACTGCGGCCTGAGCCACGCCACTCTTTGCCACTCGTTCCACAGTGCACCGGCCGGGCCTGGACCTCATTGATCAAGTCACCGATACCCTAGATTCGCGTTGAAACGAACATGACATGGGACACGAGTCACTGTGACGTCACATTTCCGACGCAAGTGTGCTGCTGGGGGTGTCCGCCTCAACGAGATTTCGCTCTTCTCGACGTTGACTGGTGGCGTGGTGTGGGCCAGGGCAGGGTCTGGTGCGGAGCGGCGGTCGGGCTGGGAGCGGTGCGCGCCCTGCCCAAGGCCCTGCCCAAGGCCCTGCCCAAGGCCCTGCCCAAGGCCCTGCCCAAGGCCCTGCCCAAGGCCCTGCCCAAGGCCCTGCCCAAGGCCCTGCCCAAGGCCCTGCCCAAGGCCCTGCCCAAGGCCCTGCCCAAGGCCCTGCCCAAGGCCCTGCCCAAGGCCCTGCCCAAGGCCCTGCCCAAGGCCCTGCCCAAGGCCCTGCCCAAGGCCCTGCCCAAGGCCCTGCCCTTCCCCGACAGACGGGCCGCCCCGCCTCGGCGGCCGAGGTGCACTCGATGTACATGGCCGAGAGCCGCGCGAGCCTCGCCTTGGCGGGACAGTAATCCCGAGCGGCGGGTTTCTTGTGGCCGGCGGCGTCGTCGGCGCCCAGTATCTGCAGCCGCCGGTAATCCTGACGGCGCGCAATCAGGAACCCGCCCCGCCCCGCCCCGCCCCGCCCCGCCACGCCCCGCCCCGCAGCGCTATCCACGTGAGGCCGGAGGAGAATGGCTTCTAATTAGCCACGTCGGCTTTGTGCGCTCGGCCCCGGCGCCGGCCAGCGGGCTTGCTCGGCACCCGGAGGACGCTCCCCCTCCCCCTCGCCGCCCCGGGGTCTTTCTTTGAATGACGGCGGCCTGAATATTTCATCCCGGACCTGGCGGCGCCGCCGCCCGCGCCGCCCGCGCCCCGCACTCGGGTGTAGTGATATTGATATGCGGCTGTGTGCGCTCCAGTCTGCACACCCCGGCGGGGCCGCACCGGGGCCGCACCGGGCCGCCAGTTGTTTGCCGGCCAAGTCCGAACAAGTCCTGCTTGCTTTGCCACCCTCTAGGGCGCTCGTCCATGCCGGCTGCATGTTTGCGCCGAGTTTCTGTCCGTGACAGTTGATTCCGGGATGTCGAGATGTGAGACACGCGGGATTCCCGGAACGTCGGGCTGACCGCATAGCGCGGGAATCGTCGAGGCCCTTTGACAGTGGCAGTTCAATCTCGCTCAGTGTGCCGGTGGCACCTCCCGACGAACAAGCTCTCCTCCCACGCACACCCCGCGAGTGCGAGGGAGAAGCTGATTGTTTGGGCCCGCACGCGGCCCTGGCGTTTGATGCGCGCTTCGATGGCAATCCAATCCATATGCCCGCTCGGAATGAGGTGTGCTCACCCGGACGGGCAAAACAAAGCGACAAAGGCACGGTGGAGGGGGCAGCGTCGGCCTGTCCTGCGCGCCAGTGGCGCTGCCGTGCAGTGCAGGGCGTTCGAGGGGGACCTCGTTTACGACGCGCTGTAACGCACGGAGACGGCTCGTGGGCACGGCGCAGGCATCGCCCCCTGCGAGGGGGCCACCACCCCCGTTATCCTGTGTACAAATTGGCTGGTAATCTCTGGTAATCCATGGCGTAATCACGTAATCCTTGACAAAATTCTGTCATTTTTCAACGTTTTGCATTTTCAACGTTCTGAGCTATTTTTCAACGGTTCGAACATTTTCGAAAATTCACGCGTAATCCTGGTATATCGTAATCCCGTAATCTTGTGTACGCCTGAAATGAGAGTGGTGGCCCCCTCGGCCCCCTGGGCCTTGGGCCTTCCCTTGGGCCCGGCACGGCCGCTCGTGTTTCGCCCTCACGCCAGGCTGGCGGGCAGGTGGGCAGGTGGGCAGGACGCACTCTAGAGACCGCTCGGGCTGGGCCGAGGGCTGGGCGGGCCTGTCGTTCAATCGGCAGCTTGCCCTTGCCTCGACCCTGTTTCTTGTTTGCATCGCGCATATCGAAGCATCGGCCAGGGCGTCGGCCACCCCTCTGCCACTGGTTGGTTTTCGCTCATCGCCCGCCAGCCTCGCACTTAACACAAATAAAGAATGGCAACTCACCGATTTCTTTCTTCAAGATTACAATTTAATCGACCTGAATGCGGTGGTTTTTCCTCCGCCATCGAAGGGCTTGCAGACTGCTGGATCCTTGCCCGCCGTGCACGGTAAAAACGGTTCCTGGTTTTCCCAGGAACCCCCTGAAATCGCCTATGTCTTCGCCATAGGGCTCCTGGGAAAACCAGGTACCGTTTTTACCGTGTGCCCGCGGCTGGCGGTGTTGCCCCGCGAAGTGGCGGGCCGTGTTGTGCATGTATCGGTGCGGCTCCGCTGTGCTCCGCTGTGCGCCGCAGGGCCCGCTTCCCCATTAGCAGAGTGCCGCCGCCGCTGCTCAGCCTGTCCCCGCCGCGACGCTGTTTTGTCCTGGTGTCGTGTTATTGCGTCTGCCGGGCGGATACCTCGCCGTGGGCGGCTCAGCTTCGGGCCTACCGTTCCCTTTTCCCCTTGTCCACGACTCCCCCTACCCCTGCCTTTTCCGCCTCTCCGACGGACACTCATACAAATCAGGGATACGGGGAATTTTTTCTGGACTTTTCCGATTTTGGAATTTCGGCCGGCATATTCCTTCTCGGCGTCCTCCTTGCGGACGCCCGAGACTCTCCATATTATGGTGAAAATGTTCCATATTATGGTGGCGCAGCTGACTTCGTAACATACCGATGAGAGTTCACTGTACCTTACAGACATTTTGACGAATTTCGTTGGTGTTATGGAGAAAATCTCCACCGTAATATGTTGGTGCAGCCTTTCGCCGTAAGACATTTACAGTGTGCAGTGTGCCTCTTGGTCTTCCCTCAGCTCATCATTACCATGCCGTCGCGCGGCCCTTAGCAAGACGCCGCGCCAGCCGCGCCGTCACAGCGTGGCGGCCACCTCCAATGCCGGGGCGTAGCACAGTGGGCCAGAAGCCGGTGGAGGCGGCCAAAACTCTAGACGCGTTTCGAGCTCCAGAGTCGCTAAATGGGACTCGAACAGAACGTGTGACCCCATCAATGGATTCCTCGTTCGGAGAGCAGTCCATTGGTGGGGTCACACGTCCTGTTCGAGTGTTCGAGTCCCATTTAACGAATCTGGAGCTCGAAACGCGTCTAGAGTTTTGGCCGCCTCCACTGGTCTTCTGGCCCACTGTGCGGCGCCCCCTCCCTCCCCCCTCGGCGCTGCTCCGTCTTTCCGCGTGACTGACCGCGGCGCCGCGGCGCGTCTCTGTTCCAGCGCCGCAAGGAGCGTGGCCGCGTGCCGCTGGGGACGGTGAGCGTCGTTGAGACGGCGCTGGTGACTTCGCCGTCGGCGGGATCCGACTCGTCCACCGCGTCCACCGGGCCGCCCTCCTCCAGTGCGCCAGCCGGGCCCGCCTTCCAAGTGGCCTACCGCGAGGACGGCCAGGAGTACACGCTGTACCTGGTCGCCCCCAGGGACGGCGAGCGCCACGACTGGATCCGCGCCATCCGCGGAGGTAAGTGCCGCCTAACGAAGGGAAACTCTTTTTTTTTTTTTTTTTTTTTGAGGAGAACAAATTGGACCTTTCGTGTTGATTTCCGGCGCGGATCGAAAACACGCTCCGCCCGGGGATCTGTTTGAAAGTGTGGGCCCATCCGCACCCCTTCCTCCTCGCATTTCTGCGCAGACACCTCCACCTCCCCCCGCCCGGCCCGCCTGGCGCGGCGCAGATTACGCCGAGCGGTTCGTCACATTCACTGGTTCGTCCTCTTTAATGGAGTTGCGGAAGTCGCGTGGCTATGAAAATGTTTCCAAACTCGACCGCTGCTCTGGACGTGTGCGTACGTTTCACCGCGAACTTCGGGAAAGGGGGGGGGGGGCAGCCGGGCCGGTCCCACGTCCTCATCGTCGCCCTGGACAGTCGCGAGTCCGGATTTGAACAGCGTCCGCCATGGTGGTTGGCGTCCTCGTGGTTACCAGCGCGCGCCATTCCGGGCCCGACACCTTGGTGATTTACGCGTCCCGTGCTGGTTCATTGCGGGTGACGGAGCGCGGCGTGCGGCTGCTGGCTTGTTTTGGAGCTGCCAGAGGCAAGCCAGGCACTGTACGCGGTGCGCCGCGGAGCGACGGGAAGCCCCCTCCTCCTCCTCCCTCCACGTTCCTTCTACGTGAGGAAACCGCCTGGGTGAAAGCGTGCAATTCCGAAAGACTCATGATCAAACGGCGATCGCATTGCGTCGTCCGGTGTCGTCTCTTCCTGTTTGCCCGGCGCAGTGTCTCGGCGGGCGCCTTTGCCTCGCTCCTCTCCACCGCGATGCTTCCCAGGAATTGGCGCCGCTGCTTTTTGCCTCTGGAGTGGCGGGCGGGGCGGCGCGGCGCTGCGCGTGGCAGCGTTGCCATCCTCCAATTAAAAGTTTAGATTAGAGGTGTACCGACCGCCCTGCCGCCCGTTTTGCATCGATGTGAGTTAGTAGTGTGCCCGCGGTTACGCCGCAACCCTTGCCTGCCGCTGCGAGGGCTCGTCGCGCGGCGTGCGGCGGGCAGGTCCGCAAGGTTGTCTCGGAGGCCCGTCCCTGCCGTGCCGTACCGCTGTGCCGCCTGCCGCTCCCACCTGCCGGCTCTGCGAAGTGCTCTCGGCGATTCTCGGCAGCGGACCGGGACCTGGGCTGCCGAGGACGCTGAGGACGCCCTTCCCCGAAGGCGCTGATTGCCAAACTCCGCGACACTTGATGCGCCGAGACGCTCCAGACCGACCCACGCATTTCTCTTCGGCGGCCCCTCGGTACGGTTCGGCACTTGGCGGAGTGGAGCGGAGTGGCGGGGCGCTCTTTCGAGTTCGGGACGCGCCGTCGACGGCCGGACGGCGGGCGGATCGCTCCGGGCAGGAATGGCCGCCGGGCGAGACGCACAGTGGGTCAAGAGACCGGCGCAGGCGACGAGGCGACCAAAACTCGAGACGCCTTTTGAGCTCCAGAGTCCGATAAAAAGGACTCGAACAGATCGTGTGACCCCACCAACGGATTCCTCGTTTGGAGCGAGCAATCCATTGGTGGAGTCGGAGTCACACGTTCGGTTCGCGTCCCATTTAGCGGCTCTGGAGCTCAAAACGCGTCTCGAGTTTTGGCCGCCCGCGCAAATCCACTGCGTGACGGTCTGGGCTGGGCCGGTCCCGACATGCGCTTGGCCCGGCTTGGCCTCGGCCAGGCCACAATGCAGGCCCCTCCCCACCTGGCGACGCGCGGCGGCAAATCCCTGCTCAAATTGAGCGTCCCGCCCAATTGCAGGCCGCAGGGCTCTTTGCAGTGCGGCGACTGCCGAGGTAGGCTGTGTTAGCGGGCGGGCTGGCCGGGCTGGCCCCTGATTGGCTGGAGTCCCGCCGAGTCGCGCTGACTTGACCTGATTCGCCGTCTCTGCGCCCCCCGCGTGCCTCGCCTCGTTTCTCGCGCCAATTTGACGCTCCCGCGGGTCCGCGACCAAAGCAGACCGACCGAAACGAATTAATTAATCTGCGTTCATTAATTACGACATCGTATCGTCCCTTTTCATTCTATTTTTTGTTTACATCGCATGTCCACCTGGTTCTTTGACGGAGCAAAAAAAAATGGGGGTGGGTGTATGTCACACACAAACGCACACACACACACACAAGCGACCCACTCAAACGAGTGATACACTGCGGAGGACAGTATCTTTCTGCTGCTAAAAAATAACAAAAAACAACAAACGTGGAGCGCGCAATCGTGTCCACGTCAAAACCGTGCGGAAGAGAACGATCTCGCCAACAACTGTTACAAAAGCAGCCGCGAATCGCAGATGCCGCCTGTCGATGTGCTCTGGTGGCGGCTGCACTGCAATAGAGGGCTAGAGCTGCAAGCGCCCAGCAGCCAGCCTCAGCCTCGTCAGCCTGCGGACGGCGGCATAGGCCGGCCCGCCACACTGGGCCGCTCGCCGGGCCGGCCCGCCTCACAGGCGCTCCGCTCGCTCCGCTCCACTCGCTGTCTGCAGTACAGCTCGGACGGCTTGGCCCTCACACTCCGAGGCACGCTCCCCCACACGCGATCGCCCCCCCCCCCCCTCCTTTCCAGTGTCCGCCCCGTCTTGGAACGGCGAAATCCCATTACCCAGTCCGAGCCGACAGCACGCGATGAAAGAGGCTTTAGGTGGCGGGATTACCGAGTGGACGGCATCGCGGTGCGGTTCCTCATTCCCCATTTCTCCCGACCTCGCCACATGCTTTCCCTCTCTCCCTCTCAACTTTGCCGAGCTTGCTCCGCGAGTTTGGACCGCCCCCCGATTCGTATCGCCAAGGCGGAAGGGAATTAGAAAAAAAAGAGGAAAGAGAGCGCCGCGACGCCGGCGCCGTCGCCGAGCGCGCGGAAGGGCAAGTTGATTTGATCGTGAATATTATTCTTAACCCTCCCCTCCTCCCGCTCTCTTTCCCCCGCCGCCTCTCCCCACTCGGTCCGCGGACTTCCAACTCATCTGGGCGGGGAAGTTGAAAAATGTGGTCAAAGTTGGGGAGCGGAGGTCCGAAGCCAGCCTCGCGGAGTGGCATGGCACTGAAAGGCGCCGTCTGAGGCGGGGCGTCGGGCCGAGCGGCCGGCCGCGATGCCGCGATGCGTGCTCACTCTTGTGGCAACGTTCTGCCGTCCCCAATTAGAATCTTGAAAAAGTTGGGCCGTGGACGATCAGGTTCCGTGATGCCTGAGATGGAGGGGTGCGGTGTGGCAACTTCGGCAAACTTGGACGGCAGGGCCGTGGCAGGGCTGTCCGAGGAACGCGTTGCCTTACCTTCGCCGTGGCTCCAGGCCGCTCCAGGCCGCTCCAGGCCGCTCCAGGCCGCTCCAGGCCGCTCCAGGCCGCTCCAGGCCGCTCCAGGCCGCTCCAGGCCGCTCCAGGCCGCTCCAGGCCGCTCCAGGCCGCTCCAGGCCGCTCCAGGCCGCTCCAGGCCGCTCCAGGCCGCTCCAGGCCGCTCCAGGCCGCTCCAGGCCGCTCCAGGCCGCTCCAGGCCGCTCCAGGCCGCTCCAGGCCGCCCCAGGCCGCTCCAGGCCGCTCCAGGCCGCTCCAGGCCGCTCCAGGCCGCTCCAGGCCGCTCCGCGCTCCAGCGCTGGAGGGTCCCCACTTTGTGACGCCTTGGTCGCGGGGAGGGAAAGAAAAAAGAGGGGCATATCATGCGGCTCTTCCGCTTTCCGCGTGTTTGCTTGTTTTTCGTTTTGTTTCGTTGTTGTTTCGGTGGTTTGGGGCCGGAGGGCGCGCCGCGCACCCCGTGCCTGCGAGGCGGCCGCCCCACCTCCCCGTCAAGTCGAGATACCCGCCGGGCCGTCCGGAGCGGAGTGCGTTCCCTCGCTCTTGTCGTCCTTGATGGGCGTCTTGACCGAGACCCGATAATTGGCCATGGTTGTAGCCCCCCCCCCCCTCGCCGTTGCGGCCGGCGTGGATTGGCCGGCACAGGGCAGCGCGCCCCGCCTGGCCCCGCCTGGCCCCGCCTGGCCCCGCCGCACAGCGCAGAGCGACGCATCCCTTCCTGATTGGATTGCCGATAATCGACGCCGGCCGGCCGTTCTGGTGTGGTGCTGTGCACTGTCGTGCCGTGCCGTGCCTTGCCACGCCGTGCCGTGCCACACCGTGCCTCCCTCTGCGGTGCTCGTGTTCGAGCCGGGCGGCCGGCCGCGCCCTGCGTCCACTCCCCTCCCATTTTTCATCCGATATGGCGCGGGCCGGCCGTGGGCCAGCCGGCATTGTTGTTGTTGTTTGGTGGCTGTGGTCGTGCTTTGCGCCGCGCCACGCCGCGCCACGCTGCGCGCTTTGGCGCCGCCCTGAGTGCTCCCCGTTCGATGAGTTGTGGTCGCTGTATGGCCGCTTCCTCCTGTCTATTTTTCCGGCTTCGCCTTATCCGCCCGAGCCGGATCGTCCTTTCATTACCGAAGTATCCCCCCTAGGCGAGGCCCGGTCCGCCGGGACCACACTGGAAGGCGGGACAGGTGAGCCCAGCGTGGGCCACTGCACTGCCATCCTCTGTGGGACCCGCACGGCGTCACAAAGGAAGGGCCCGGCGGGAGGTTCGAAACGAAAACCTCTCCGACGCGCGAAAAAGTTGGCTGGACTTGGCACCGGACAGGCCGATAAAGTTTTGCCCGTCCTCGCGAACTCTCTCTGGTTCCGGGCCGTTTTGGGCCTGGACAAGCCCCGCCTGATGAAAATGCGCTCTCGCTCTCGTGTTATTGCTGCCGTTTGTCGGAGCCGTGGTGCATGCCCCACAATGCACCTCCCGCGCTGATCCGAGTGACCTGCCCGCCTCGCCGTGCACCGCCCCCTCCGCTCCACGGTCCGTTCCGCTGATGCGATACGAATGTGATCCCCTAACCTTATTGAGAAATTCCTGCAACGCAATTTTGACGGGATGCGCGCGGCGCGCGGCCGTCGCGCTGCTATGCCGTGTCGCGCAGTATGCAGCGCCGTGGAGCGGGCCGAGCGCAAACGCCATATTGGACCCGGTCTGTTTTCCCCTTGCCTTTC